TAGCCCGAATTTCTTCGGAAATGTTGTCTTCCAANCGAACCGAACACTGATTTTGGTAATAAAATTCAATGATTTGCAAGCGTTGCTCGTTAGTAAGTCTATTCATGATGAAATGTCAAAGCATACTGAGCATCTTTCTCTTTGACACCATGTCTGAAATCCCACGTGATCTGTCAAATACTAATGCATGAAAATCCTAACCTCAAAAAAATCACCCGTTAGTACCTTAAAAGAGGAGCGACCTGAGTTGTCAATCACACCTTGTTTAACACACCTTGCATACATATATGTATGTAATGAAAATAAACGCTCTACGTCACAAGATTTTGTTGGACAGAATTTGGAAGATAAAAAATTCTTCAGGTTAAAATATTGCAACATTTTATTGAAGTGTTGCTTCACACAAAATATTTTTGTTGCTGATATTGAGCATTTAAAATAGATGCAGAATAAAACTCTCTGTCCCCTCCTATGGTACAATAATTGCAGGTATCGTCTTCCCAAAGAGTCTTGCTTCACATCGAAATTCGTGCTCCCTTATTTTTAACCGACTTCCAAAAAAGGAGGAGGTTATCAGTTCGTCGGAATATTTTTTATTTATTTTTTTTTTTTATGTATGTTACCGCACAACTTTGGACCACGTCAACCGATAATTCTTTTTGCAACGGAAAGCTAGGGTCTCAGAGGTGGTCCCATACTAATTTGGTTTAGATCCGACCATTGAATCATGAAATATATAGATATATATATATATTTTTTAAAATCGGTTTTTTTTTGCTAAAAATTACTTGTTATTTTGACGCAGTTCAATATTGATTCTTTTACTTTTATTTGGCTTTGCTTTTTGTTTTCGCTCAAGTTAGTTTTTATAATTTTTCAAAACAAAAGAAAAAAACTTTTGAAATTAAGTGAGCCATACAAGTTTTGAATTTATTTACTAGCATATGTTTTTTTATCGGCTTTTGCAAATTAAATAAGTTCTCTGCAAGATGGTCTGTTTAAAAAAATACGTGTACATATATGGTATATGGGGTATGAAAACATCCCTTTTCCCTTGCAGTAAACGTTTTAGTGTGGGAAATAAAGATATTTTTTAAATAAGGCAGATCGGAATATGCGCTCTCTGGGAAGACAATACCTGTAATTATTGTAACATGGTGTACACCGAGTGCAATACTCACAACCAAAAACTTACCGAATAAAATTCAGTGAGTTTTTCGGAAGACAAGTGTGCACAATTTTGACAGTTAAAACTCATTCCCACACTTTCTGGATCGCAAAATGAGGAAGTGTACACAATTTTGACAGCAAAACTCATTCTCACTTCCTGAATCGCAAAATGAAGAGTGATCACAATTTTCAGTGTACACTCTAAAACTCACAGTTATAGAAACTGGAACCTGGAAACTGTTAAACAGCTTTCGCTAAAAACGAAAAATTTTGATTGCATTTTTCAACCACCAAAACCGGTTTAGCGCGAAACTTCACTATAGGAAAACAATAGTCGAAATATTTTTACGAGTATATTAAAATCGTGTACTAGAAAATAACGGGACTTTCCGTTGTTTGTCAGCTTTTTCTTCTTGTCAATTAAACAAACCTCGTCAGCAACCTGACTATCTCCGCAAAGGTATTGTCCGATGAAATTATGCGGAAATTAATTAACTTATTACCAAAATAATAATATTTATGCCTTTTCGCCAAAATATGCATTTTGTGTCATAATATGCATTTGCATATGCGATATACATTTGCATACTTTTGTCTTCCCTGTTGATGACGCATACGAATTAATAATTTTTAAGTCTCCGAGTAAACCGTAAGCTTTTATATTATAAAGCAGACATTCGCGCAACAAAAACTCAAATATAAAAATTTGATTTCCAATATATTTTTTAATTTTTATTTGTAATCAAACAACTGTCATAATTAACTCCAAATGTTCAATGTGAACGATTGTGCTTTACGAAAAGCTTTTTCATGTTTAACAAGTTAAATAAAGCCAATTTGAACGTAGTAAGTCCAGCAATATATTGTTATACATAACCAAAAAATATTTCATTTTTAAAATGGGATGGAAGTAGTCAAGCCTTTAATATATAAGTGCGTCAAGTACGAAAATACGATTAAAAAATGGAGATTCAGGAACTATAAGAAACCTATTTTCATGTTGTACTCTCAACTCTGCCTACAACCTACACTAAGTTTTGTTTCTGGCATATTTCGTTTTTGTCGTACTGTGTAATTTATTATGTTTTCTCGTTTCTAACCTTTTCATGTTGCAACCGTTTAGCATTGCCACTGGCATATTATTATGTATGTAGATTGGTTGCAATCGGCATGAAATTCTGACATATGTATATATAAACGGAAAAGCCTATTTAAAAATAATTTAATTTTCACCACGTAATTTGCCAAGGCAACTGTGGGCGTGGGTGTGCGATGCGCATACAGATGTTTACAAATACCGTAAGGAAATGAGTATACTAGAATAAGGTATGGTGTCATAATTTTAGGGTTGTGTTTAAATGCCACATTACACACACAAAGCTACACACATCCATATAAGTAAAAAGAGTATATCGTCCCACGAATGTGCTGAATTTAACACCAATCGAAATTTGTTAATAGACGGAGGGTAAAAAGTCGAGTCGCTCCTTAGAGTTATGGTTCAATTTGAAATTATTTTACTTTAAAGAGGCTTTTTTTAGTGCATATATGTATACATAAACTAGCGTGCTTTGTTGGACTCGGCGAATATCGCTTAGGCGGTTACAGCGCCATTAAAGACAAGATATGTATGTATATGTACATATCGGCGATTCTACAGGAAAGTAAACTAGTCCGATTTTTCTTTCTTTCTGATTATTAGTATTCACTATATCTGTCAGCTGCTTCTGACAGTAATTTTTATCATGCCCCAGTATTTTGTGTTTAAGGGCGGTATTGTCACTTGCGAAGCGAATGAATTTGGCGAAGCGAACGGTTTGGCGAAGCGAATGGATTGGCGGACGCAACTTAAATATACATTAAGGGCCGGTTGTTCAATGTCTGATTAGCACAAATCGGAGGTAGAAGCTCCGGTTAAGCACAACTACTGCTTTATCGATCACATGTTACATGCATGATGTCGAAATCGTCGATAGTGTAGTGGTAGTGATAACCAGACATTGAACAACCGGCCCTAAGAGTGTTATCTTTTACCAGCTTGTGCAAGTTCGTTGCATCGCGAACACTTTTAATACCTTCTCTTCCTTTTAATTCGCTACTCCAAACCGTTCGCTTCGCCAAAATCATTCGCTTCGTAAGTGATAATACCACCCTAATATTTCGCTCTTTTTGTCGAAAGATTTTTCACGAACCTAAAAACAGTTTTCAGTACTACAACAAGGAAAACTACAAAAACACACGCTTTCTTTCGTTTATTTTGGATGATAAAATTCTGAACGATAGAAAATAAATTAGTTTAATAGGATACGTTCCAAGTTAGCGAAAAAGTTGTTTAGAACTCCTATTAAGTCGTAATGATATGTACAACAAATGTTAAGTGTAACGTAGCCAGTGAAAAACTAAATAAATAATATAAAAAAAACTTTTTAATGTACAAAATTTCAAAACCAAAAGTTATCAAAACAAATTCTATGGGACTGAGAATTATAATTTTCTACTTTTTAGTCCATTTTTAAAAGCGTTGTATATTAAAAAGTTTTTTTTATATTATTTATTTTCTACTTATTAATCTTGTCTGTTAAAATTTTGCAATAGATATTAAAATAATTCAACGATATTAAAAGATTGGTGCACACACATGCATATACATATGTATGTACATACATACGAGCACCAATTAATTTCATTTAAAGAAATGGGGTGTCGTTCATTTCCGCTGTAGCGTACGTAGTGCATAGTGCGACATCTACCTCTCGAACCAACGAGGTTGATATCTAGACTTTATAGGAACTTTGCAAAGCAAAGCTTTTATAGCTGTCTGGACACACAACATTGGAAGTTGATAAAAGCGTTGTACAAAATTTGAGATCGATTTTAAGCGATCGTTATTCATATACCCACATTAGGGCTGGTCGATTTGTACGGGCCCCAAAAAAATAACAGAGGCACATCGCGCTTATGATTATTTGGGTAATTTCAAGCATTTGTGTCCAAGAAATTATAGGTCTTAAGTTAATTTCGAGCCAGCGATTTTTTCTATCTAGTTTTTTTTTTCAAAACGTGGTTCATCTGTTGAAACAGCTGTATAGAAAACTAGCCAAAATGTGTATCTGGGGGTTTTTGTGATCGAGGAATCCATTTCTGGCAGTAATTTTTTCTTTTGAGGGCTGCCAGAGGGCGCTTCCGTCGTTTTTTTTTGGATTATAACGCTTTTTTCCGAAAATCGACAACATTGTTGCGAAAATCCACGTAATTTGACTTTCTCATGATGCAACTGTGGCGGCAAAAAAGTTAGTCACCCTACTATTAGCTATTAAAATTTAGTTTGAGATATACTTGTATGTAAAATCTGGTAACACTGTTTTAATCATGTTTCATTTCTCAAATTGACATTGTTTTCTTGAAACATTCTAGAATTTAGATACATAATTATCTTTCTCTTTCTTCTTCTACGCTATATTGGTAACCATTCGAAAAACGTGTATACGAGTGCTACTCATCTCGCGAAGACATAGATTATTTGATACTTGATTTTGTAATAATAATAATTTAATAAAAAGCTACTGAAGAGTTTGCTGAGTAAAAAACACAACCGGTGTGTAAACATTTATTGACATACCAATTGGCGTTAGGAACTCGGTAGTGGGACCTGCGCTAACACCGTGACGAGCCAGGAGCTCCCCACATTAGTGACCCTCGACACAAGGAATTCGCGAAGGTTCGAAAAGCACGTGACGGCATCGGCCACTTGAACAAAAAATATATACGTTTTGTAGCGTGAAGAAGAGCTAGCCGTGCACTGCGTCGCTGACGTGGTTTTGTCTGCAAGGATGTCTGAAGAAGAACAGGATAATGCCACAGGTGCAGCCCACACGCCGGAAGAAAATCGTTTTACCGGTGAGTTACAACACATCAGCATTAGACCGCCTGCATTCTGCAAGCAAAGGCCCGAGTTATATTTTATCCAGATGGAATCCAATTTTGCAATTTCACATGTAAAAAGCGATGACACGAAGTATCATTATGTGATCAGTTCATTAGATGCGGAGGCGATAATGCAAATTGCTGACATTGTAAGCAACCCGCCGGCAGCAAATAAATACGAGGCAGTTAAAAAAGCACTGATTGCTGAATATGCCGACTCTGATCAGCGAAAAATACGCAAGCTAATTAAAGAAAGTGAACTCGGTGACTTAAAGCCTACACAACTGCTGAAACGGATGAGAGAATTGGCCAGGGATAAACTTAGTGACGATGTGCTAAAATCGCTATGGCTCGAACGGTTACCTGTTAATGTACGTGCGGTGATATCAATTGGCACTGGCGATACAACAGACATGGCACGACAAGCGGACCAGATGATGGAAATGTTAAATTTTTCGAATGTATCAGCCATACGTGGCGAGCCTACACTCGGTAAGCAGATACAACAGCTACAAGCTCAAATAGACGAACTCAATGTGTCTCGAGCACTACGCAATCAGAGTAGAGGTACAAAAACTCGTGACAGAAGCCAGTCGCGTCCACGATTTCCGTTCTGCAAATATCACTGGCGTTTTGGTGTGAAGGCAAAAAAATGCTTCGAACCATGCCAGTTCAAGAAACTAGACATGACGGAAAACTGAAGGAAGCTCTGTTAGCAGAGACGACGATTTAACTGAAAGTCGTCGTCTTTTCATAAATGATCGAAAAACAAATCGTCGTTTCCTTATTGACACCGGCGCCGATTTCTCCGTAGTCCCACCACAAAAATGCGACAAGTTAGACTTAAACCACAGCCTGTATGCAGCTAATGGTACTCCGATAAAAACTTACGGAACAAAGCTTCTCCAAGTCGACTTCGGGTTAAGAAGAGCAATGGACTGGAAGTTTGTGGTTGCGGACGTCACTCGACCAATTATCGGAGCGGATTTCCTTCACATGTTTGGACTGCTCGTTGACTTAAGGAGAAAAAAACTTGTCGACACAACAACAAAGTTTGAGGTAAGCGCACTTGCTTGTACAACTTCTAGAGAACAAATGTATACAGTTGCACCAAACCTGCCTGGTCCGATCAAACGTATGCTGGATGAGTACAAAGACTTGACAACACTTGAGACTTGACGTCTCCCATGCCTCACTTAGCACGAAAGTTCGACATCATATAGTCACCACAGGTCCTATTTTTTGTAAAGCGCGCAGACTTAATCCCGAAAAGAATGCCATTGCAAAGAAAGAATTCGATTACATGCTAAAAAAGAACATCTGTCGAGTTAGTAGCAGCCAATGGGCAAGCCCGCTTCATATGGTCCCCAAAAAAGAAGAAGGTAAATGGCGTCCATGTGGCGACTACCGCCGACTCAACGCAATGACTCAACCTGATCGGGACNATTTTTTGTAAAGCGCGCAGACTTAATCCCGAAAAGAATGCCATTGCAAAGAAAGAATTCGATTACATGCTAAAAAAGAACATCTGTCGAGTTAGTAGCAGCCAATGGGCAAGCCCGCTTCATATGGTCCCCAAAAAAGAAGAAGGTAAATGGCGTCCATGTGGCGACTACCGCCGACTCAATGCAATGACTCAACCTGATCGGGACCCGATACCGCACATACAAGACTTTGCGCAAAAATTATATGGTAAGTCTGTATTCACCATAGTAGATTTAGAACGTGCGTACAACCAGATCCCGATCGCTGAAGACGATCGAGAAAAGACTGCCGTAATAACACCCTTCGGGTTATTTGAGTTTAATGTCATGACATTCGGTTTGCGCAATGCGAGTCAGACGTTTCAACGCTTTATGAACGATATATTCCAAGACATGGAGTACGTTGTCGTTTATATAGATGACATTTGCATTGCCTCAGCGTCAGAGGAAGAACATGCGACTCACTTGCTCAAAGTGCTTCAGCGGCTACGTGATAACAACCTAAAAATAAACGCTTCTAAATGCCATTTCGCAAAGCCAGAAGTAAATTTTCTAGGTTACAAAGTGACGAAAGATGGCATTGATCCACCAGCTGACAAAGTCGAAGCCATCGCCAATTTCAAAATGCCCACTGTAGCTCACGAATTGAGACAGTTTGTCGCTATGCTCAATTTTTATCGTCGCTCGCTGCCGAACGCTGCCTTGTCACAGGGTAAACTCCTCAAGTTGATAAAAGGGAATAAAAAGCGAGATAAAACGCCTATAAGTTGGAATGATGAGACGAGAGAAGCATTTCAACAATGCAAACGTGATTTAGCAATGCAACGTTACTTGTACACCCATCGCCAAATGCCAAATTAGTACTCCATGAAGACGCAAGTAGTTATTGCGTAGGTGCAGCGATCCACGAGCTAAGAGATGGTGCGTTGTACCCATTAGGTTTTTTCTCAAAACGCATGTCAGAAACGCAAAAAAGACAAAGTACGTACGATCGGGAGTTACTCGCCATGTACCAGTCCGTCAAGTATTTTCAATACCTTATCGACGGCCGTTAGTGCACGATACTCACCGACCATAAACCACTCACATTTGCTTTTCAGCAGAAGCCCGACAAAACTACCCCGAAACAGACGCGGTATCTTAGCTTCATCAGCGAATTCACCACCGACATACGACATGTGTCCGGAAAAGCCAACGTTGTGGCGGATCTGTTGTCTCACGTAGAGTCAATCTTCAGTGGCGAACAAATTAATTTTGAACAACTAGCCCGAGAGCAAGTAAACGTCGTGGAACTTCAACAACTCATGAGAAACACTTCACTTCAACTCCAGCCGATAAAAATACCAGGCACTAATTTAACGGTCATATGCGACTTATCAACCAAAAACGTGCGCCCGTACGTGTCGGAAAAGTTTCGTAAACAAGCCTTCGAGTCGGTTCACAACATTAGTCATCCGGGAAAGAGGTCGACGATTCGGTTGGTGACAGAGCGCTTTGTATGACCGCGTATGAAACGACAGATTAGCAACATGGTATCTTCATGCCTGCAGTGTCATAAATCAAAGAGCTGGAAGCACAATCGCACAGCACTAGACAACTTTGCAGTGCCCTCGAAACGATTTCGTCACATCAACATTTAGGGTGCTCACAGTTCTATATTATCTACTGTGTTAATTTTGCCACCTGGTAACTTTAAAACTTTTTGCCATATGGTAACTTTGTTTGTTGTTGGTTCCCATACTAATTAGAGATAACACTTTTGGGCAAAATTACTCGACTTTGTCTCATGTTTATGTTTTGTGTTAAACTGGCATCTATCGCTGCTTGTACATACATACATGAATTTCGCTTTGGGCGCAGCGCTGCTTGTACATAAGTTTCTCTTTGCGCCTGCCTGGAGCTGGCAAAGGTTCTTTATTTTATTTTTGCGCTGTGCTAGCTGAGTATAAAAAAGAGAAGAGAGAATAGAGAGAAATATGTATGTGGTTTGTTGATGCTCTCTAAGCACAAACGCGTGGAAGGCAAACGGTCTAGCAATGCGTGGTATTGTTGATCAACTTAATACTTTATTTAAACATAAGGGTTGCTCACAGTTCGAGTGTATTATCTTGTTAAAGTTGCCACCTTTTAACTTTAGAAGTAAACTGTGAATACCCTAATTGATATTATTGGACCGTTACCACTGTCAGAAGGGTATAAGTATTGTTTAACCTGCATCGATCGATTTTATCGATGGCCTGCCGCAATACCCATGCAAGACGTTACGGCTGAAGCTGTTGCCAAAGCACTGTTACACGGATGGATAGCGCACTTTGGTGTGCCGGCTGCCATTACCACCGACCAGGGTAAACAATTTGAATCGAGGTTATGCAAAGAGTTGACGAACCTGGTTGGCGCTAAGCACTTTAGGTCAACTGCGTACCATCCTCAAGCGAATGGTCTGATTGAGCGCATGCATAGGACGCTAAAGACAGCAATCAAGTGTCACACCGATAGTAATTGGATCAGCTGCCTTCCCATAGCGTTATTAGGGCTTCGTACAACTTATAAAGAAGATTTGGGAGCGACGCCAGCAGAAATGGTATACGGCGAAAATTTAAAGTTACCCGGAGAGTTTTTCACCAACCACACGAGCGAAGGCACAGGCGATGAAGTTATTGACAATTTAAAAAATGTAATGACGAATCTTAAACCAGTTTCAACATCGAACCATGCTGCGAACAAAGTTTTTGTGCAGCGAGATATCAACAACTGCACGCATGTTTTCGTTAGGGATGACTCTGTACGACGGTCCGTTTAAAGTCGTTCGCCGTTTCGATAAGTACTACGATCTAGAGATGAAGAATAGAGTCGCGAGAATTAGCATAGACAGACTCAAGTCCGCACACGTCACCGAAGATGACAACGGAACAAGCGATCAAACACAAACTGCAGTACAACAACCAGTTCAGCGACCAGAGCCGACACAGAGAAGTATTCTTAAACCCACATCAGAATCGTCAAAAGAAGAAAAGGTTACAACTGCAACGCGAGTTGGACGAAGGGTGAATTTTCCGAAACGTTTTGCCGACTTCATCTAACGATGAATCTGAAGGGGGAGTAGATGTGGCGGCAAAAAAGTTAGTCGCCCTACTATTAGCTATTAAAATTTAGTTTGAGATATACTTGTATGTAAAATCTGGTAACAATGTTTTAATCATGTTTCANCGACTTCATCTAACGATGAATCTGAAGGGGGAGTAGATGTGGCGGCAAAAAAGTTAGTCGCCCTACTATTAGCTATTAAAATTTAGTTTGAGATATACTTGTATGTAAAATCTGGTAACAATGTTTTAATCATGTTTCATTCCAATAGCATATTATGATCCAGGTAGTAATAAATCGAGATATTGGTTACATATTGCACTTTCTAAAGGTTATTGGCCGTTTTAATATAATAGTGCTCCCTTATTACATAAAGGAATTTGTTATTTATCATCTAAATACAAATAATACATTTTGAATACTTATCCATGTTATGTTTCCCTCGTGTGACCACCACGCAAATATCGGACTTAAAAGTACCAAAATAAAGCAATACATATGTAGATAGCCCTTTTTACATAACATTTCTATTTCTTAAATTATGTCAAATGTCCCTGCGCCCTGAGCGGTGCAAAACAAGCTACTGTTCGACTAGCTGCGAAGCAGACAGAAAATAGGAAAAATGATTCGAAAACTATGATTTCTATAGATTTTTGTACGGGCTATGCGATGGCACTGAGCGTTTTCCAAAATTTTCCCATTTTCATGGTGAAAATTCTGAACGAAAATTTATTTGTAATTTTTCTGAATTATGGTCATTTTTAATATTGTTTTTAGTTATCTCAATCGAAAGATCAAGTCTTTTTACATATAAATCACTAATAAAAAAGGACTTTTTTTTACTTTTCCGAGCTATAAAGCCTTAAAGAGCGCAGCGCCCTAATCTGCTAACCGTGTGAGTCATAATAATATTGTTATAACTTTGCAACTACTTGATGTTTAATTCTGAAACTTTCGCAAAAACTTCCCTACATAGTCATCTACAACACTGTTTTAAAACAAAAAATTTATTTCAAACTTTATGACACAGCTTTTGCATTTGAAAACAAACACCCTCTTAATTCTCATAAAAAAAATATGAACCTGTAGTTTTATTTGTAGTGAGTATTAAGAAGTGGTGTTAAACTTAAATT